CTTAAAGGGACAGTGTCCCGATTATGCGCACGCGTGAGCGTCATCTGTTTTTTCTTCAAAAGACAATAGAACTGTCAAATTGACTCGACAAGATTTCCTTCCGGACCGCACCGCCGACAGAGATTTGTTGTTTATATTCTCAAGTAATATTTTAGCCTTTCGAAGAAGTCTTTCGTCTTATATAAAAATTTGGCTCGCGGTTCGAAGACTCATCGCGATTTCATCGCTAGCTGGGGCGCCTCGCGACCCGAAAATCTCGTTCCGCTAGCTTTAAAAACATATTTTCTAATTTGAAACTCGTGTCAGAGGTCAATCGTTCCAAGTCCAGTAAAATCTGCCTGATTTGCTCGCGTTCTAGCCTCAAACGTTTGAAAGACATAAATAAAAATGCAATCTCAACGCTATGAATCATCACAAATGTTAGTCAAAAATGATATTATGATTTCATGTCACTAGTTTTTCAAAACATGTAGCGCCTGTTTGTTCGATTTTGTCGGCCGTAGGGAGATTTAAAAGTTTACTAGCGCGTCGTTGCAAAACATTCTGCTTCACGAAACTCCCCTCCTCAAGATCTCCTCAGTCAAATCAATGTCTCAACAGATTCTTTCTTACAGTATTTATTGTTGCTGTTTCATTTCTGCGGATTCCTTTCACAATTATCTGAGCTTGTATGGAAGCTAGCAGAAGAAATAAGCCTTCAATCGGCATCAAAGTGCTTCCAATCTTTTGTTCCTCCGGCCAACGGCAATAAAGGTAACGCCAAAAAATCCAGATTTTGCCCAAATCGAAACTTAACAGGAACAATATATCATTGATTTATAATCCTGAGAAGTTTTAGTGTCGTATTGAACCCGGCCAAGCGCGATGCAAACGGATTTTTCAAGATTCTCTTACTGTCCTCGCATCTTTTGATTTCGCGACATCCTGTCCAAAAATCAAAGTTTGGTGCATGCGCAGTAACGGTATACTGTTCCTTTAATAACTTAATTAGCCCCATTTCACCAGATGGGTGCTGACAGACATCATGTCGTAATCCAGTCACTTATCGCACTCAGTCGTTCAAGTTGCCTTTTGTCCCCTCCCTCACACCCTGGGGGCTTCTCTCGATTCCTCAGTGCCTCGGTTCGTTAATCAAAAAGATCCCCAGACAGATTCATTATCTTGACTTGTCTGCTGATGGGCACAGGGAACACAGGAGATAATTAAAACTTTCCCCCAAAACATCTCAGTTCCTTAATCAGTAAATCTGAAAGAAATACATACTTACTAAAGGTTGTGATAGCTTGATAAGTCTCACAGTTAACACACCAAGTCCCATTTTTGGTGGCACCCATCAACTCTGCACGCTTCTGTAATTTGTCTATAGCAAATGCCTGCTGGCCACTCTTGCCCTCTGGTAGTTCCACAGGAATGACACTTTTTACAGTTAAAAAGAAAGGAAAAATAAGAATTTGTTGCTGTTTTATGCTTGACACTAAATGTCGTTATATCCCTATCGTCGATCATGCTACTTACCAGGTGACTCCCATTTTTTCTAAGATGATACACAGCAAAGGAAAAACATTTGAGGGAAAAAATTACATTTTCAGCTGGCAAAATTGACCAAATGTCCTTCAAAATAAAACGTGCTCTTTGGCCGCCATCTTGAAAGTCTTCTAACGCGTCCCTATCAACGGAGAAGGGACTGGGGACAAGGGTCACATGAGACCCTTGAAAAAATGAAATCTTGTTCTGTTTTGCCACTGTGTTGAAGCCACTTAACTTTGCAATTACATCTTAACATTGCTGACGAAAAGATGAAGTTTACGACTGTTTTGATTTTTTGCAAGGACTTTTATAGTTCAGCGATGGGGACAATCTTCGGCCGTAAGCACAGGACACCCACCTCAGTGCGCGGGATCCGCCATATAAGGATTGCAGTTTTACGGCTCATCTAGGAAATAAATGAACTTCCCCTCAAGTGGAGCTCAAAATTTTTCTCGAGCGCGAAAAGCGCGAATAGGAGAATTTTTATGTTTTCTGCGGCAACAGGGAGCGGCAGGCCTTACTATTGGAACTGGAAATGAGAAGCGAAGGACTTTGAGAAAGTCTTTCGCTTCTGGCGGCAATCAGGGTCACAACAACGCTGTCCTCCTGACCAACTGTAGAGAGGATCTTCTCATTTGTATACATGCATCACTTCATGGCTTTGCTGTGGTAATTGGTAAAATCATTCATTACTTCAGAAAAAGGAACAATAATCACATCAAAGAATTTATGTCTTTTCTGTATATTTTTATTAAAACATAAATAAAAATATAATTAGAGTTTATTTACAGTGATGATATTTACACATTATCTGAGGTGACTGTGAATCTGACTCTGATTTGCCCTTTACCCTGTAAGCACATTCCGAGCCCCACTCGAAATGAGACAGTGATTTTCAGTGCGCCAAGATTACGAGACAACGACTACACGCGAAGTAACTAATTTTGCTTTAGCCTGAGTAGCAGGCACTTGGAAGTAGTGGGCGCAAGAAAGAACGAGCGCGCGAGAGGGAGACACGCGTGTCTCCCTCTCGTACACGAGCAAAGTAACCCCACAAAAGTGACCCCACAACGGTATGCTTATGGTCCATCTGACAAGCCGCTCCAGGTGATCTCAGTCACGACTTGTGAGAGGACAGTCTCCTTCGCGGCAAATACAAAATAAGATCGACCTAAGGGAGGTTTTGTGAGCCCGCGAGAATGAGAAACCCCCACAAAGCCTTGTTTTCACTAAAACCGCTGGACACAAATCCTCCCCTGGGTCGATGTTACATTGTCACAACGCTTCTTCGCAGCCGCTCGGGTTGGAGTCACGCAATGCTTTCAACCCACACACGAATAGGCTCGAATTCTAGCCGCTCTTCCGGAATAACCCGGAGTTTACCTCTCCCTGGAAAACCGTACCCGACTAAGCGGCAAAATAGAGCCAGTACAATCATAGTACTATGATACAATGGGACCCGAGAAGATGCCTTAATATTCGCCCCGCCCCCTCCAATTGTCTTGCCAGCCTCATTTATGTAGTCCAGCCTGGTATGAGGTGTAAAGACGAGAAAAGCCAAAAACCTGCTATCATTGTATTTTCCAGGTTTTTGTTTGCCCATAAAGAAAGTCGCCATCGCCGGGGGCGTTAACAGGAGCGTTATACTCCAAGAGTGCGCTTAGGCTAAGTGGCTCCCACTGCTTTCCTTGGGTCTTCTTTTCTTCCCTGGCGCCCATACTACTAGCAGGGGCTGACAGAGTTCCTCTTATATTGATCCCTCTCGGTAACCCCGTGGTTACAGGTTCCATTTCTGAAGAACATCCAGGGGCGTTATGGCGTTTACTGAACTCTCCTTTACAAGTAGCCATTTCTTCGGTTAGAAACTTGATTTTCTCTCCTCCGACGATAACGTCTTGTTCTTTTTCAAGTGGGAGGATGGCCTCGCGAGGGGACGGCGGTATTTGAACGGAGTGGCTATCTCCTTCTGTGTCTGTTAATGCGAGGACAGGTAATGGTACAAGATGGTGCGCCTAAAAAGGAAAACAAAACAACTACGCTTTAAACAAAGTATCTGCCAAAACCCTAAAACCAGTCAAGTTACACTGTATAGCCACTGATGTAGCCCTGCTTTCACGTGATACTTTCATCATTCTGGACAATTTGAGTCTGTGGATAAAGTGTGACCATTAAAATGAAAGTTACGTAAACAGAGCAGTTTCCTGCAGTAATGTTTATTATGCTGTACAAGGGAATCTCAGTTCTTGATCTTGAGACAGTGGGGTGGGGGGAGGGGGGTTAAATATTTAAATCAAAGCTACTGATTGATAATTTCCCGTGGACCTGCCTATTGCTAAGAGTATAGAACTATATTAGAGAGATTCCATTGGTTGTATCTCCGTTTTAAACATTTTTAAAAAACTCTCACCTTTGTCTTGTCCAATATTTGCCGTGGATTGTACCTCGGTGGTCTGATCATGGTCCCCTCAGAAGGTTCCTTTGGTTCAATACTTTTGACCAGTAATTTCGTCTTATCACGGTTCATGTGAGCAACTCGAAACATGAGTTCCAAGCGATGACGGGTGAACTTAATATCCTGAATTAACTGGCTTTCGCTGGCGCGGTCTTCATCAAGAACCTTATTCAACAACAAAAGCGTTAGTATGAAGTATACTGATCTAGCATGAGACAATCATCTCTTTATAAAGAAAGACGCAATAAAGATCCACAGAAAAATTAATATTGACTACGAAAGTGCTCAGTTTTTCTCAGGAACTGTACAGAACCGTAGAGTTCCAGAAGCAACAATTACAGTAACGACTCCCCGAAAATGACTTTCAAAATTTGAAGTCTCTGATGTTAAGTTCTCTGATTAGCCATTCCCCGTATGTAGCAGCCCTAACGAAAATCCAGAAAATTTATATTAATGTTTTCTTCAGTGACTAAAATTCAAAGTGACACCGCGATCTTGAATTACGGCTGTTACATTTTGGAATGAGCGCTTTGCACAAAATGGTCACATGGTACAAAAATATCTTGCTGTATCGCAAACAATGCAGTTGAACCTTGAAAAGAAAGATGTTAGCCTTTTGAATAATGAAATCTCTTTGTTGTTCTTGCTCCACTGCGTCGTTTGGTTACCGGTCATTTCGCCACCAAGTCATTTCTCCCCAATTACTTAGCTTCCTTTTTTAGAACGAGGAATATTATATTAGAAGCGCACTTGTTTTAGTTTATGGGTTAAAGAACGAGGAATATTACATTTGAAACACGTTTGATTTGCATTCTGGCTTATAGAACGAGGAATATTACATCTAAAGCGCGCCAAATGACTCGAAAATCGGGAGCGAAATGACCGGTTACCCGTCGTTTGCATCCAGTAAGGTGTTTTTGTTCTATGACGGACCGTTCCGTACAAGAGGCCTATTTTACGGTTTGATGTTTAGTAAAATAGAACTCAGGATATTCATAAAAAAATACTCTTTTTTTATCTGATCTCATACCTCAACTTCCTCCTTACAGAAGCTTCTCCGGGCTGTTGGGACATTGTTGTGGAAACACTCTCGCAAGAAAGCTTTATAAGCATTCTGAACAAAGAAGAATGAAACAAACATGTTAGAGGACAGTTGTTTAAAACTGCATTAGGAACGCTACCATTTTAGCTCAAATGAAAAAAAAATAGGCACTAAATATGGTGTTCACGTCATTGACAAAACCTTTACTTTCATTATTTCACACGAGAACGGTGGTGATTTTACAAAATTACAACAACCCGTGTAATGTCGATTCTGTCCTTATCATCTTTATTGTGGTCGGTGTTAGCCTCTCTCACCCATCCCATATGATAAGACCATTACCTTAACATCCGGGGGTATCATATTGTCCTGTTTTTGAAGTTTAATTTGCGAGTTGTTCCTCAGGGTACCCCACAGATCTCTTGCTCCAATGCCACTTACTTGAAAGAAAGAAATGGAATACACATGAAAATACGTGAGGACCCATCATCATAATTGCTATTATCATCATCGTCATCATCATCATCAATGTCATCGTCGTCCTCACCATTATTTTATTCGATAAAGCAGGTTTACGTAAAGCTGATGCGGACCTGCTACAGCAATACCGCAGACACTTAAACGCACACGTTTTAACAAGAATCAGAACAGTGAAAGAGCGGTGATTCCGGGTGTTTCTTCCCTAACCATGCAATCGGAATCCTAGCCTCCCACGCAGGCGTTTTCATGGGAGCTCGTTTTCCATCCCTCCCCAAAGGCGTTTGTGGGGAGGGACGAAACACGAGCTCCCCTAAAAACGCCTGCGTGGGAGGCTATCGGAATCCTTAACTTTAACCATTTTAACTTATTAAACCTGAGCGTGTGGTCTGACTAATTAATCAAGCTGCAGTATGAATTACATTTTGTTCAAACTTCTGATTTCTGTTGTAGATTAAATCCTAAAATGACACGAGCTGTCTTCGTTGCTTTCTCTTTGAAATCTCCTGAAAAAACCATAGGTCACTACTGAGAAGATTAACGTCAAACATGTTACATACATTTTCTGTTCACCACCACTGGATTAAGTGTCTTCTTGGCTCCTTCACGGAATGTTGGGTGCAAAAAATCCTCGGCCTCAGAACCTAGTAACTTCTTAAGCTGAATATCAACAGGATCAAGGAGCAGTTCCTTAAAGTTGTCTGTCAATAACGCACTCTCATATCCTGAACCATGACTACTCCCTAGACTGAGTTGAGCTGGAGATTGAGTTTTGGAGCTCGTATAACTGTTACGTTGGTCGGATGATAGCTTTGTCATGCGTCCAGGTTCATGACTGCTAATAACACGTACATGTGATTTTAAACTGAGGGCTTCTTTCCTATCTTTAGCTGTGAACGTGAAAGAGATCAGTTTTGGCAAGAAAAAATGATTTATTGATGATGTTAGGCGCCTTTTACTGGTTTATAACCATAATTTAGTATTGAGACTATTCAAGCAGGTCCTTTAACATTTTAGATTAGCTTGAATAAGGTTCGCTTTTCCTTCCCGCAATTTTGACAGACTAATAATTATTTTAAGTCTTAATGCCTGCTGAAAGTTTTTCTCTTGCTTCTCAACAAAAACGCTTTTATATTAATGAATTTTCCACACCAGATAAACTGACATTGCAGCAAGAGTGAGATTGAAGAACATTATACATTCGATTTTACAATGGCTTCCCATATAAATAGCAAAGAACTTAAATTTTAAATTTTGGCATTTTGAGAACCTGGGAAATATGCATAAATATTATTTTTATACATACAAGTGTGTGGATCACAAAATTGTCACGAGTATTTTCTATATTATATTAAGTTGAGACACCTTGATGGCACATGTTATTTTTTATATGCAACAAAAACTAGTTTGCTTCAATATGAGGTACAGTTTGACTGCTTTGCATAAATTCTACAACACTATTTTTTTTTAAAAATTGGTTATACCCTTACCTAACACATCTTTAACAAAGTCTGTATACTCCTTTGATTTGGCCATTCTTGATAAGCGTTTGGCTTCTTTCAACTACATAAAGAATAAGGGATTGTTTAGACCTGCATACCGTAAAACAAGTTACTAAGAAACCATGCATCTAATATTAACTAGACCCCAGACAGGCAAAATGTTTTACTAACATTTTGCACACAGTTGAGTCACCAAAGATTACTATAACTAACAAAGCATACAATATTTTTAACACTTCTGAAAATAACACTTTTTTGATTCTTAAAACTGAAAATTCATTTTAGAGGAAAATTGGTGCAAATAAAAGGATTCAAAGTTTATAATAAATTATTCATAATAAAATTTAGTCCTAAGAAATCAACTAAATAATTAATAATATGGTATTATGTGGTATGCAATACAAAAGTTGTTTACATCAGTCTAAGCCTTCTTTAAGCAGATAAAACAGAATGAATAATGACATTATGCCATCACATACCACATGTACAGCAAACCTGAAGTCTTAGGTTCTTAATAATATACCATAAAATTCCGAAAATAAGTCCCTCCATGTATAAGCCCCTCCAGATATAAGCCCCTCAAACTTGTAATGCAAAAAACCCTCCGTTAAATCGCCCCTCCAAATATAAGCCCCCCCCGGGGGCTTGCACTTGGAAATTGCCCTCAAATGCAAAGTAAAACAAAGAAAAAAGGTAAATTTCCTACCTAGAAATGGCTAGCGCAATTGATTTTTAAACGCAAATTTCCCTCCTTACATAAACCACTCTGAATATAAGCCCCTCCAAACATAATCCCCTCTAAAAGGGCCTTTGAAAAATATTAGCCCCGGGGCTTATTTTCGGAATTTTACGGTAATATTAATAAAATAATAATAAATAATACAGGATATTTTAAGAGGAGGCCTGATCCAATCACCTAAAGGTGGTTTTCATAAGGGTCCTCTAAAATAAAGGACAAAATTACATTAAAATAAAACTAAAATATGGCTAAAAACTAAGACTACAACTAAGGTTTAAAACTAGAACTATAAAGATTAAAAATACTAGCTTAGGCTGGAATGGTTTAATAAAAACTGTTTCAGTTTTTAAAAATTGTTTGTGGCATCAAAAAACTAGAACTAAGATAAAAATACTATAAGCTATCGATCACCATACCTGCCATCGTTTTTGCTCTATTTTTGCCTGGCGATTTTTAAACAGAATGTCTTGTCTTCTGATTAATTCATGTTGAATGGAGACCCTTTCCTTCAGATATTGATAATGTTCATCCTTCTCATCTTGTTTGAGTTTTGACCACATTTCGTACAGACGGATGCATTGCTACATGCAAAATATAGAACAGAACAGGCATACAGTTAATTCAAGAGGTTAATTGTTTTCATTTAGCTATTTTGACATTAAGCAGAAATGTATGGAAGGAGTTCCAAAGTTAACCTTCAATAATTGAAGGTTAACTTTAGAGGTCAAATTTAAATCTAAATAAATTTTTTTAACCTAGGTTGATTCTCTTCCTTTTTGTCCTAGCCCTTTAATGAAATCTCTTTGTTGTTCTTGCTCCACTGCGTCGTTTGGTTACCGGTCATTTCGCCACCAAGTCATTTCTCCCCAATTACTTAGCTTCCTTTTTTAGAACGAGGAATATTATATTAGAAGCGCACTTCTTTTTGGTTTATGGGTTAAAGAACGAGGAATATTACATTTGAAACACGTTTGGTTTGCATTCTGGCTTATAGAACGAGGAATATTACATCTAAAGCGCGCCAAAGGACTCGAAAATCGGGGGCGAAATGACCGGTTACCCGTCGTTTGCATCCAGTAAGGTGTTTTTGTTCTATGACGGACCGTTCCGTACAAGAGGCCTATTTTGAGGTTTGATGTTTAGTAGAACAGAACTCAGGATATTCATAAAAAATACTCTTTTTTATCTGATCTCATACCTCATCTTCCTCCTTACAGAAGCTTCTCCGAGCCGTTGGGACATTGTTGTGGAAACACTCTCGCAAGAAAGCTTTATAAGAATTCTGAAAAAAAAAAATGAAACAAATATGTTAGAGGACAGCTGTTAACTGCATTAGGAACGCTACCATTTTAGCTCAAATAAAAAAGAAATAGAAACTAAATATGGTGTTCACGTCATTGACAAAACCTTTACTTTCATTATTTCACACAAGAACGGTGGTGATTTTACAAAATTACAACAACCCGTTTAATGTCGTTTCGGTCCTTATCATCATTATTGTGACCAGTGTTAACCTCACTCACCCCTCCCATACGATAAGACCATTACCTTAACATCCGGGGGTATCATATTGTCCTGTTTTTGAAGTTTAATTTGTGAGTTGTTCCTCAGGGTACCCCATAGATCTCTTGCTCCAATGCCACTTACTTGAAAGAAAGAAATGGAATACACATGAAAATACGTGAGGATCCATTATCATCATTACTATTATCATCATCGTCATCATCATCATCATCATCAATGTCATCGTCGTCCTCATCATTATTTTATTTGATAAAGCAGGTTTACGTAAAGCTGATGCGGATACCGCAGACACTTAGACGCACACGTTTTAACAAGGATCAGAACAGTGAAAGAGAGGTGATTTAGGGTGTTTCTTCCCTAACCATGCAATCGGAATCCTTAACTTTAACCATTTTAACTTATTAAACCTGAGCTGAGCTGCCGTATGAAATACATTTTGTTCTAACTTCTGATTTCTGTTGTAGATTAAATCCTAAAATGACACGAGCTGTCTTCGTTGCTTTCTCTTTGAAATCTCCTGAAAAAACCATAGGTCACTACTGAGAAGATTAACGTCAAACATGTTACATACATT